AAAAAAAAAAAAAAAAGTACCAGCAGCATCACTAAGAGTACCCTGGAGCCGCGAGGGCCCCCGCTGCACCCACCCACTACACCCACCCGCCGTGCCTGCAGCCCACCTTGCCTTCCGCTCCAGCTCCTCCTCCAGAGACCGCAGCCTCCTCTCCCTGTCCCGGAGCTCACGCGCGTAGCTGAAGTCATCATCCAGCTCCTCCTGCCTGGCAAGCCGGCGTCGCTGCAGACACACCCAACCTGGCTCAGAACCCAGGACACCGCAAGCCCAAGGCCCAGGCAGACCCACCCAGCCACCCACCTCCTGGTCCTTCAGGAACTGCTCCTTCAGCCGCTGGAACTGCTCGCGCTTCCGTGCGTCCACGGCCATCCGTTCCGACACCTGCCGGTCTGCATGGGGGGAGGACACGGTTGCAAACAGCCCCAGCAGGCCCAGAACTGCAGAGGGAGGACGTAGGCCTCACTCACCGCTCAGCGCACTCAGGACCCTGGACGCTGCTTCCCGGGCTTGGACAATTAATTCCTGTTTTGCAATTTCCACACGTAATTCCTGAAAAAAAAGACCAACAGGGAAGGAAGCAGCCTAATCCTTGGTCCTCTAGCCAGACGGCTGCTCGGAGCTCCCACCATCATCACAGCCGCCCTTCAGCCCGAGCAGGTTAGGGGGCAGCATACGTGGTACACGGCCCATGGCTGCAAGGAGGACACCAGGTGATGACAGGAAGATGCCCACCCTGTTCTGAGCAGTGACAGGGCTGGCTCCAGGCCTTAAATGGAGTTGACACACGCTCAGAGACATCTGGGCTGAGTCTCCCTGCTATCTGTGCCCACCCCAGAGGAAGACCGCATGGTCTCAGAGAAGGGGCTCCTGCTGCCCACCAAGCACCAGGACAGAAAGGGCATTTCTGGGACTGGCACCCCACCACCGGCCTCCCTCACCTCAGGACTCAGGATGAGCACAGCCCCATTTGCAGGCACGCCTGTCCCTTCTGCAGAGGCAGGAGCTTGCAGAGGCCACCTGCACAAGACCCTTGACCTGCTGCCCCAGGACCAAGTCTGTCCAAGCCCAAGAGAAGCTTTCACAGAGCCACTCATGTCGGCAAAGCCTAGGGCTCAGGCCAGGCCACCCAGACCAGGAAGAGGGTACAGAGCCCTGCCCTGGGCTCCAGGATGTCCATTCCAACTCCCCCTGGCACCACCCAGAGTACCTCCAGGATGGAGGATCCAGAAGGGAGCCTCCCAGCCGAGACCCCAGCAGGCAGGGGGAGCCCTGAGGCCGTGGTGCATACCTTCTCCTCCTTGCTGATGGAGCTGTGGCGGGCTACCCTCTCCATCCGCCCAACATAGACGGCACAGTCCTTCTCCAGCTCCTTCAGCTCCTCCAGGGAGAAAACCACCGAGATGCGAGGAACAGGGATGTCGGACCAACAGAGGTAATGCTGCTGGTGACAGGAAGCCATGGTGAGCGTGGGCGGCGAGGGGGCTGGGCTGTATGAGGACCCTATGGCCCCAGCCCGCTTCAGGCACACCCCCAGACAAACAGGAACTCCCCTGCCCACCCATGCACAGGCGCCTGGCAGTGCCACGTGTAGGACCCTCCTCACCCGGGGACAACAGAGCTTCAGCAGGTTGATGGTCTTGCCACAGACGTACACGTCATGGGCGATGTGCTTCAGGAACACGGGCACACAGTCCTCCACCTCTTTGGAGATGAGTTCGTAGCCGTGGGTCCAGTAAAACTTGTCTAAACAGAGCAAGGCACCCAGGGCCTGCATGTGGTGGCCTGGACCCCAGTCCCACAGGGTGGACACCCCACCCAGTGGCTGCTCCCACCAACCTCTGAAGCCAAGATACCCGTCGTTCACCCGGATCATGAACTCGCCGGACACGTCCCTGAAGACCCCGCTGTACACCCAGTCATGGATGAACCTAACCATGGGCAAGCAGTGAGGGGCGGTAGCACAAGGGAGGGGCAGCCCCTACCCAGCAGGCTCACAGCCGGAGCACCCCCGCCATGCTCTTGTGTGACGTCTGCACCCAGCAGGTGCCTGACCGGAGGATGCCCTCAAAGACCTGCACGCTGGGTGTGGTGCCCTGGTCCCACCCCCAGCCCCCCAGGGAGCCCACCGTGTATAAGGCTCGCAGCTGGTCTTCAGCAGGGACAGCAGCACGGGGTAGTGCTCATTGCTGCAGTTGTCCAGAGCCTCCTGGTAGAGGTAGGACAGCAGCTTCACACCCTGCAGAGCAAGGGGAGGCAAGCTCAGGCATCCCGCAGGGGAGGGAGGGGCAGCCCACCCCACAGCAGCCCCCTGCCTGGAGCCACCACCACAAGGAGGCAGGACTCACGGTGGGGAATGCAGCCCTGGGCCCTCCTCCGCTGGTTCCCAGGAGCGCAGTGCCAACACAACAAAGCTCAGCCAGGTACCTAGACCACAAGCCAGATCAGACCAGGTGACAAGGGCTCCAGGTCCCAGGTCCCCAGACCAGATCAGACGAGGTGCAAAATCTCCTTGCTTTCCCAACATGAATGACCCACCAGGACTTTTTTTCCCTTTTTTTTTTAGTCACAGTCTCACTCTGTTGCCCAGGCTGGAGTGTGTTAGCACGCTCACGGCCACCACAGCCTCGGCCTGCTGGGTTCAGGTGATCCTTCCACCTCAGCCTTCCAAGATGCTGAAACCACAGGCACATGCAACCATGGCTGGCCAATTTTTTGACTTATTGTAGGGACAAGGTCTCGCCAAGTTGCCCAGGCTGGTCCAACCCCCAGCTCAGGCAATCCTCTCGCCACCGCCTCCCAAAGTGCTGGGATCACAAGGTGTGAGCCAGCACGCCCAGCTCCACGCAGGTTTTACAAACCACTTGCTCCCCAAAACCCCTGCTGGCCCCTGCCCCTCACAGGCCCCTGGACCTCACCAACACTCCCACCCCTGACAGGGCCTCCTTCCCAGGCTCCAGCCAAGCCTCCCCTCACCCTGCACCCACGACTCCCTTCCTCACATGGGCATCCCACTTGCTGCCTCACCCCATCGTCCGGGCCACCACTGCTCTGGCCTGGATGACCCAGCCCCTTCGTAGACCACAGTCTGCCCTGGACACAGCATCGGCCAGGACTTACCCCAGTCCACTCCCAGGCCCCTGGGCTCCCTCTCCCCCAGTGCATCGGCAACGTCCCAGCCCTCAGGCCCTTCGGCCTGGAAGGTCTCCTTCATGCAGTTCCCACCACACCCAGCTCCCAGCAGCCCCAGTCCCTCGTCCTCCCTTCTCTGGATGGCGTTTGCCAGCAGATGCCAGCTCGTGAACGACATGACCATGGCCACAGGGACCCTGTGCTGTCTCGGCAGGAGTCCCGGGCCTGGACAGAGCCGGCTGTGGGGGCAAAAGTAGACCTCTGCACCGCACCCTGCACCAGGGGACTCAGGCAGGGCTGTTCTCATGGGCCCTCCTGCCAGGGAGCAGGGCCACCCTCCTACCCCGCCAGGCCCACACTGCACCCCAGGCCCCCAGGCAGCTGCCACATGGAGGCTCACCTGAGCTGCCGGCCCAGCTTCTTGAAGAGAAAGCCGATGGTGAGGAGGCTCAGGGTGGGCGGAGTGGCGAGCACACAGGCCCGGTGGTACTGCAGGTATCTCCGCAGGCCGCTGGTGAAGGCCTGTGAACAAGGGGAAGGGAGAAGGTGGCTGACACAGCCTGTGTGCCTCAGGGGTACCAGTGTGCAGGACAGACCTCAAGCAAAGGCATCACAGGCCGAGTCCATCCACCCCAGCCCAGCTGGGAGCCAGGAGTCTTCCCAGTATGCCACGAGCTGAGACCAACCACTCAGGAAACAGCATCTGCAGTGCCGGGGAGATGCCAGAAAGGGTGCCGCTCAGGCCACAGCAGTCTTGGTGGCACCACAGTGGCCGGGCCACCTCAGTCACCTCAGGACACGAACCCCATGAGCAAACCTTGGTCCACCGTCCCCGGGAGTCATGTGGCCTGGCATCGCCTGCTCACTCGTGCCAGGCAATCCAGACCATAGTCCCACCGTCCTCTGCCTCCTCGCAGGCCCCTCACTGGCCTGGGTGCCACTCTGACCCATTCTCCACCGTCTCCAGCCCTCGGGGCCCTTGGGGCCTCCACACGCACTGTTCCTCTGCCTGGAAGGCCACCTCGATGCACACAGCTCCCGCCACCACCACCTCCCCAGCCACACTGTCGAAAACCTGAACACCCCGTGCTCCCCCACTGCCCTGCCCTGTACCGAGGAGCCACGCAACCCAATCTCCCCTGACGCCCTCCTCTCAGGTCCTACGGAGCACCCTGTCCCTCTGCGTGCCTGCTCTCTCCACTGGGGCTGCTCCTGCTGTCCTGTGGGTTCTGCCCGTCATGGGAGGCAGCTGAGAGTCTTCCAAAGAAGCATAACTCCTGGAGCCAGATTTGGCTCCAAACCCGCAGCCCTGGCCTTCGACGCGGAGGCTGAGGGGCCCTATCCTGTCAGTCCTGCACAGCATGCCAGGCCCAGTGAGGAGCCATGGGCAGCAGGCGCCCCACTCACCACCCTCCCCTGCCCACCCACACCACCTGCCCTTCTCTCAGGTCCCAACCGTGGGCCACACCCATCTGCCCTGTCCCACCATTCACACACATTGGCTCCAGGTTTCCAGTGGAATGATGGAGGTCAAATATGAACATGGGCCCCCCATCCCCAAAGAGTAGCCCTCAGGATTTGGATGTTACCAAGGAGATAAAAGGTTTAGACTCCTTGGTCCTGGAGGTGACCTCTGAGAGTCTCTTTTCCACTTTCACCAGCATTTGTGACAGCCGTGAGGCCCAGGGCTGTACCTGGAACACAAGGCCCTTGCTGTATGAGGAGTCCAGGACGGGCTGCAGAGAGAAATGGCTCAGACGGGTGTAGTGGGTCCCATACTCAGCCACCTCTGAGAGAAGGCTGCTGACGCTCTCGGGGGATGCTCCTGACACGTGGACGCCTTGCTTCACCACGAAGGCCTGCGCCGACTGTACGGAGCAAAGGAGAGGGGTTACAGAGGCTAGGACCCAGACACCCAGACTTCTCAGAGTGCCCCCAAGTTTAGGTGCCTCAAACCAAGACACAGACAACAAGTTCCAAAAGCAAAAAGGCCCAAAACAAACGCCACTCCTAATAACAAAAATCATGCAAACCAAAACAGAAAGGTATAGCTCTTCATTGACCACACTGAAAAATACATGTTAAAAATGCCAACTGTGAGTTCTGGCTACTTGGAAAGGTGAGGCGAAAGGATTGCCTGAGCCCAGCAGGTGATGCTGGGGTGGCCAGCCTGGGTGACACTGTGAGACTCCAACTCAAAAAAAAAAAAAAAACG